TACTGGCAGCCCACAACAGTATCTCAGCTTAAAAAAATTAGCTTAAAAAAATTGCTCAAGCCTAAGACAAAAATATACATTCTTTTCAAATTCTAAATTCACAATTATAAGCTGAGAACAAAGAGGCCTCTTGCTTTAAATCACATAATTATACTGATGATAGTGGTGGCGTTGTGGCCGTGGTGATGATCTAAGAACGTCAGTAAAGCAAGCTCTGCAGGGAGAGTTAATACTTTTTATTAGGTCAGCTGACAGGGTGGGAAAAGTTTGGGGCGTGTTTAGATCTTCTTTCTGATTTTCCTAGTATACTAGTTGGTCTGATATAAGCTATTATCTCCCTATGTAAGCTTTGTCTGATTATTTAAATGAGTCAAACAAAGACAGGTACCCACTTAAAAACTCATTATTAAGTCAAATGAGCATTTAGGGTTTTTTGCCACCCACAGATGCCAAAGCTAATATCCAGCAGAGACATGTCATTCATTAGTATAAAAACCTCATACCTAAGAGATGTGTTCTATGCTTTCAATTAGCAGATGAAATGCAAAAAAAGTTGCTTCAGTGGAATTAACAAAACAGAAAAAAATCAAGCATTATTATCTATAATAACAGCTAACAATACCACATTATTAACAGTTATAATTAAGATAGAACATTCTAAAAAAATTCCTCACACTAATTTTTAAAAGGAATATATGACACATTCCAACTTTGAAAACAGTACTAAACTCTAGAAATTTGATCCAACAAATGTTCTTTTTGATATAGGATACAGCTTTAAGGTTTCCAAAACAGGATGAGGACAAGAAGAAAAGCAGCAACACCCATCTTTTCTGTCCTGATATTGAGTTAAGAGAATTAAATAGTCTTTAATTTTAAAAAGATATCTACATTGAAAGATTGTTTAACGATACTCAGAGTTTGACACTTGTTTGCCTAAGATATTAAGTCTCTCATGGTACTATTCTGCCGTATTTTTAACCACAGAGAAATACCAAAAGTACAAATGCCACAGTGATTTTCAGGAGACACAACAGCTTTCAATGTTCTCCTTTGCAAAGAGAAACCTAAATTTGTTGACTTAAAGGGAATACTGCAAGGGTCCCTCTTTTTTGTAAACCTCCAGAAAAATTTAAACATGAACGGAATGAGCTATGGTTTAACGTGTTATGGAATCTGGTTCCAAAACTGTTGATGAGTAAAAGGATTACTCTGTTTAATGTAAATTTTTACAAAGGCAGTGTTCTGGTCTTTGCAGTCTCACAGAGTCACCTTTAATGTGTTTATAAATCTATAAACAATGTCTTTGCCAGGACAGAATCATGCAAGAGGATGAGGGCACTGGCACTTACCTACATGGAAGAAAAGTAGGAAGAAAGATAGGATCATGCTCTCTCATTAGTCTAAATATTAAATAATCCTAAATCATGGCAAGTTCCATTTAGCTTAAGCTACACCTTGCAAATATGAACCAGTAAACACTCTATAAACTGAAATTCGTGGAAATCACAGAATTTTAACATGGTTGTTAATGGACGCTACTTAATAATGACAAATGATTCACATAGGAAAATTTACTACTACATACAAAATAGGAATATGTTCTTAACAAAAACAGATTTCTTGTAATTTAAAAAAGAAAAAGTTCTAAATACATTTCTTGTGAAAACAACATAACGAAGGTATATACTAGACATGCTAATTTTCTGAATTCAGTTCCGACTTACAAGATAATCTTATTCAGCCCTGGTGTAAACAAGCACAATTTCCACAGTTCAGAAATAAAATTCTGCATTTTGTGTTTTGTGAGCCATTTTCTGTACCATAGTCATAGTATAACTGCATCCGTTAATTTTGCACTCTCATCCTATTTTAATCCCTGCAGATTTAAAATATTCTTGTATACAGGTTCTATTACTAAAAACAGCACCTAGAGATTAATCTACAAACTTGTCTGTTTTCTTCTATGTATAATACAGCTTCTGCAGGTAAGAGGAAAATGCTTACAGAGGGGCAACTGTATCATTACAGCTAATTCTAACCTTCTAAGAATATTGTCTGTGCATGCATAGCCAGCCAAACAATTTAAAAGAAAAAGTGAAATATTCTCTTGCAATCATTGTTTTTATCTATTAAAATAATATATATAAAGATATGTTTTATTCTTTGACAGATTTAAAAAAAACCAAACCAAACCAAAACAAAAAAAACCAACCCACAAACTGCAAAGAAATCGCGCCACCTTATGGCAGAAGACAGCAAAACTGATGGCTGCTATTTTGGTATTTCACACACTACAGCTCCAAAGAGGAGAAAGTTCATACTTCCACAAAAAATCCAAATACAGCCTTCTTCAGACTCATAAGCAAATGAACAGTGTTCAGCGTATGCCCCTAAAAGAACCTGCACAGAACCTCCTTATACTGCTCAATTTAGAAGAATAAGTTGGGTTCAAGACAAGATCGAA